AGATAACTTGGGAAAATTTGATGCTAAGTCGGATGAAGGAATTTTCTTAGGTTATTCTCTTCGTAGTAAGGCATATAGAGTGTTCAACAAGCGTACTAAGACCGTAGAGGAGTCTATTCATGTTGTCTTTGATGAATTTGATGCTCGCTTGGCGAGAAAAGGTATTGTTGATAATGTTGCAGGTTCTTATGATGATGATGAAGAAATCGTTAAAGAAAAAGAACCGGAAGAAGAGAAAATGCAGGAACAAACGGAGCTTCCTAAGGAATGGAGAACATTGAAGAACCACCCGATTGACAATGTCATTGGTGAGATAACGCAGGGAGTTTCTACTCGTAATTCTCTTAGAAACACAATTAATCACATGGCCTTTGTTTCACAAATTGAACCAACAACCGTTTTGGATGCTATTAATGATGAACATTGGTCTATGGCAATGCAAGAGGAGCTTAACCAATTTAAACACAATGATGTTTGGGAATTGGTGCCTAGACCTAATGATCATTCCCTTATTGGCACAAAATGGGTGTTTCGTAACAAACTCGATGAAAATGGAATAATCACTAGAAACAAAGCTAGGCTTGTAGCTAAAGGCTACAATCAAGAAGAAGGCATTGATTATGAAGAAACTTATGCACCGGTTGCACGTTTAGAAGCTATTCGTTTATTGCTTGCATTTGCATCTACAATGGATTTTAAACTTTACCAAATGGATGTTAAAAGTGCCTTCCTTAATGGTATCATTCAAGAGGAAGTGTATGTCGAACAACCCCTGGGTTTCGAAGACTATGAGTTTCTCGAACATGTCTTCAAACTCAAAAAGGCGCTTTATGGTCTCAAACAAGTACCTCGTGCTTGGTATGAACGGTTAAGCAAATTTCTTTTGGACCATGAGTTCAAACGGGGTCAAGTCGACACTACTCTTTTTATCAAGAAAGATAACCAAGACATCCTTTTGGTTCAGGTTTACGTAGATGATATCATATTCGGTGCTACTAACGAGGTTTTGTGCAGGGACTTTTCCGATATGATGCAAAGTGAATTTGAAATGTCGATGATGGGAGAATTAAAGTTCTTCCTTGGGCTGCAAATTAGACAATGCAAAGAAGGAACGTTTGTGTGTCAAACGAAATATTGCAGCGAATTGCTTAAAAGATTCGATGTTACCGAATCCAAATCCATTGACACACCAATGAGCACCTCTTGCTATCTTGACAAGGACGAAAAAGGTAAAGGGGTAGACATCAAGCGCTATCGAGGTATGATCGGCTCTTTACTTTATCTTATCGCGAGTAGACCGATATCATGTACTCCGTTTGTATATGTGCTAGGTATCAATCATGTCCTCAAGAGTCGCACTTGGTTGCGATCAAAAGGATAATGTGATATCTCGCGGGCACGTTGAACGTAGGTCTTTGGTATCCCAAAGGTTCAACATGTTATCTTGTTGGCTATTCCGACTCGGATTTTGCAGATTGCAAACTCGATAGGAAAAGTACCAGCGGTACTTGCCACTTATTCGGTCATTCGTTAATCTCGTGGTTTAGTAAGAAGCAGGTTAGTGTTGCACTTTCCACCACCGAAGCGGAATATGTCGCTACGGGAAGTTGTTGTGCCCAAATTCTTTGGCTAAAACAACAACTAGTGGATTTCGGCCTTATACTTGATCACATCCCTATTAGGTGTGACAATATGAGCGCTATTAGTCTAACGAAGAATCCCGTTCTTCACTCGAGGACTAAACACATAGAAATTAAGTATCACTTCATACGAGATCACGTCCAAAAGGAAGATGTCACAATTGAGTTTGTTGAAACGAAACATCAATTAGCGGACATTTTCACGAAACCCCTTAGTAGGGAGAGTTTCTTCCACATTCGGAATGAACTTGGAATTTTGGATATCTCTATGAACTAATCCATTCTTTTTATTGACTATACTAATTTGAGCGTCGGAGGTGCGATAAATTCTTTTTTGCAGGGCTTTTATTGCAGGTATCTCTTCGCTTGGTATTCAACCGAATTGGACTTGATGATTTTTTCTATCAAATAAGTTTTAATCGATTACTCCTCGAAGAGAAATCGATTAGTCGCCTCTGTCCCTCTTAATCGATTACTGGCCTTTTGTTAATCGATTAAAATCCTTTAAGGAAACCTTCTTTAGCTTTGCTTCACTTTTAATCGATTAATCCTGTTAAATTAATCTACTAGACTCATCTGTCCATCTTAATCGATTAACCATCTTTGTTTAATCGATTAATAGCTTGTAGCGCAAACGTTTGGTTCTGCTCCACTGCTAATCGATTAATTAGTTTAATTTAATCGATTTGCCTCGGCTGTGTTCCTTAATCGATTAAATACCCTTTTTTAATCGATTAATATTCGATTTTTGCTTCTGTTTCTATCAGCCAGTCTTCGTCTTCTTCGTTATTCCATTTTACGAACCAGAGATAGCAAAACCCTAGCTCCCTCCTTCGATCTTCTCCGCCTATTTCTTCAACAATCTCCCAAATTTTTCTCACCAAAATTCATCAAATTCAAATAGGAAGGATGCCCAGGTGCAAAAACGCTTCATCACGTCAAGAATCGGCGGCAGAAAAAGGTGAGAGGCCATGGCGTCGTGAAGGGAGCAAGTACTTCCACATACAAACCGGACTCGCCTTCAACACTGGGGCTTGAGCCGAGAGGTTCCACAACATCTTTCTCACGAAGGAGATCGTCTCTCCTAAGATCGTGAACAAGGACCTCTTCAAATCGGCGACCTATGCCCCGAGTAAGTCTCTTTTCTCTCAGCAAGGTTTGCTTCGTTTCATCCATTTGACGTATGAATTCTTTTGTCCAAATCTTATACGTCAATTTTATGCAAATCTTTGAACCACTAAGGGAGACTCGCCATCTCTCATTTCCTATGTTGACGGCAAAACCGTTTTCATTGGCGGTGCCGGTTTGACTTCTCTGTTTGGCCTTCGTCGAGGTGAAATTACCGAAAACTTGGATGAAACATTCCAAGATGAGGCAATTTGGCGACAACTCGGGTTAGATCATCGTGACCTCAAGTTTAGAAATTCTAGCAACCCAAGTGTCATTAATCTCACTTTAATTCAACGCGTCCAACAATACATCTTCTCCTATGTTTTGTTGCCCCGTGATTCGAACCATGGCGTTGTCAACAAGGACGATATTCGTTTGTTTCACGTCCTGTTGAACGATGTCAAATTTGATTGGGTTCACTTCTTTATCGTTGCACTTAGCGATGGCACTCGTTTTTCCCATCTCCGTTTTGCCATCCCCATTATGCATATCCTTGCTCATTGCAAAATAGACTTTACTTGGGACACTCAAGTGCCAGTCAAGAAGACTTGTTTCATCACTGAAGCCAAGTTTTCCCGGATCGTGTACCGTGAGGAGGGCGATGCTGCACCAAATCTGGACCTGATAGTCGCAGAAGAAGAAGAGAGCCAAAACGAGACTCAAGTTGAGTCGTCTCGTGCCGGAGGAAGTCGAGCCACGGAGCGCGTCACTCGTCAACGCAAGACTCGTCCAAGAGAAGAAGCACCGGAACCTTCTTGGGTGAAGAGAATCTTCGATACTCTCACGTGCATCCGAGATGACGTTCGCCAGCTCAACAAGAGGATGACTCGTTTTGAGCAATCCCGCTCCTACCGTGGCTCGCGTCACAGCTTTAGCGGAGGAGCTCGTCCGGCGAACTCACTTTGATTTTACTCCTTCTATCTTGACTTATTATGATACATTGTTATTATTATGACTCTTTTGATGAATGATTATGATGCTAATTATGTATTTGTTTGTTTGGCAATATGGTTCTCTTTTAGAACATATTGTCCCCTTGTGGCATTCCTGTTAGAAGTTTTTTTAAAGAATATTTCTTGCAATTTTATCCTTCAATATCCCGGCATTGATTAAGGAGGAAGGTTATCGATTGATAATGCCAAAAGGGGAAGGAAGGATAGTTGAGAAAAACTTTTTCTTAAAAACGTTTTTGGAAGGATCGTTGAGAAAATTTATTTCTTAAAAAAAAAATTTTCGCTTTTTACTCCGATATTTTTTTCACTTCTCTAACTTTGCAGGGGGGATTATTCTTAAAAGGAAGTAATTTTTGAACTCTTACTTTGCTCTTTCTCAACTATGTTTGTCATTATCAAAACGGGGGAAATTGTTGGACATGAGTTCAAACCCCTTTACTACTTCTTCTGGAATTTTTTTTTGTTTTGATGAATGACAAACAGGATGATTAATTTCAAGCTGATCGAAAATTTATTTTCGTATCGAGAAAAGCAAAGAAGGGTATCAAGAAGTTTACGGCGATAAAATTGACAATCACCCCTACGCAGATTTTTTTTGAAGTGAAGTGAAGACTCCGAAGACTTTTTTATTTTTTTATTGAGTCTAGGATTCCTGTAAGGATGACAATAACTTTTGCATAAACAAATTAAATTTTGAGGGATAAAAATTATTATTTCTTGAGTCAGTTGAAAAATTATTTTTTCTCTGTCCAAAAAATATTTTACTGAGTCAGTTTCAAAATAAGTGTGTCAAAATTTTTTAAAAATATTTTTAAAGATTACACAATTTTTTTTGTTAAGAAAAATATATTTTAAATATTTTTCGTGTACATCTTTTGACACACAAAATAATTTTTTGAACTCACTTTTTCTCCCCTATTCAAATTCATTGAATAAGGGTTATCAATGAGCTTGGCATTGATTCCCGTTGTCTCAAACAATCGTATGAAGCCAAAGGCTTCAATCGCAAATAGGCTTGGGCCCTTTATGTTTGCACGGTATTTTGAAATTAATCGATTTTCTCTTCCTTTTTAATCGATTAATAGACTTCTAGTTGGATTCCCAGGATCGCCCAATAATCGATTAATTTTCTTCATTTAATCGATTTGTTAGCACAGATTCACCTAATCGATTATTTTCTTCAGTTTAATCGATTAATTTCTTACCTAATTTCAGGCATTTTCGCCTCTGTGTACCTTAATCGATTAATAGTTTCACTTTAATCGATTATTTTTATCTGGTGCATGTTCTGGCTTGCTCCAGCGGCTTTATTTTCCTCAGCCTATTTAATCCCTCATTCTCCTTCATTTCTAACACAACTCTTGCACTCCAATATCTTCATTGAGCTATATTCATTTCTGCTTCCATCTTCCTCATCAAATATATTATTTTGTGAGTTAGAAATATTTTATTGAATGCTAAAGATTTTGTCATCCATAGAGCTTTAATTCTTCAACACTACTTTGCTCAATTGTGTGAGCTTTCATTCTTGTGTTGTAAACTCAATCTCATTTGAGTGTTGTTCTTAAGACTTGTGTGACTCAAGTCTTCTTGTTGTAAGAAAGTGAGGCTTGTGTGATTCAAGTTCTCAAGTTGTACCGGTTTTTCAAGCACCCGTTGAAGCTTGAAGAGTAGTAGGACTTTCGAGAGAGTCTCTCGGAGGACTGGACTAGCCACGAGGTGGTGAACCAGTATAAATCTCGGTGTTCTTCTTTCCCTTACTCTCTTTATTTATTCCTGCGATTTTATTATTTCACACACGCAAAAACGCACATTCTTGAAAACAACTCTATTCACCCCCCCCCCCTCTAGAGTTGCACATTTGTTTAACATTTCCAACTTATCAATAACATTTTTTCTTTTAGGGTTATCATTCCGCCTGAGTTATATAATTTTTTAATAACCATTTTAAAAATATCTCTTCAAACTACTTTTCTAGCATATTTACCATCTAGGAGAGCTTTAAGTGTTTTTAGTTTTAGCTTCTAAGAGATCTCCAATGGAGATGCTAAAAAACTGGGATGCTATAATTCAAAATAGATGATGAATAGTAGAAATGCTCTAGCCATGGATAAGCTTTAATTAAGCTCTTGGGTTGGAGCTCAAAAACAATGAACAGTACAAGCTATATTTACTATTTTTGTTTTTAGCTGACACGTTGGAGATGCTCTAAGGTGACCCTTCATGACATTGGTCTAACGATCTTAATATTTTTTAAAAATAAGGTTTAGGGTCTGTTACGTTTAACTTATTTTTTATGCTTATTATTAAAATTAAGTCAGATTAAACCAGATTGAATCTATTCAGATCATATCGTTAGATCCAATGAGATCAGAACAACGGAGATTCGATCAGATCGAAAACAACTTTAAATACAATTAGAATCATAACAGATCAATTCTAATTAGACCAGATCAGATTTTCAAAAAATTAGATCATATCAGGCAAATGAAACAGAGTCTTACACATCCATTAGTTTTATTAGCCTTTGTTTCAAAATTGATAAATTACCAAGTTACCTTCCTGAAAGTAGTTTATTCAACCAAGTAGTATTAGTTTAGAGTATACAATCAAGGGTAACGTTATTATTATAATTTTTTAGTTCTCTATAATACCCTCACGAAATTGATTTCATCTAATTTAATCCAATGTCGGAACTTTATTTTAAAAGTAACTAGTGTCAACCCCGTGCTTCGCACGGACTCGTATACATTCTGAATTTTTGTCTATATATAAATATAATTTTATTTATTTTAGTTTTCTAATAGTTACATAATATGTCTTAGATGAACATTCACTAAAGATTCTATAATTATTTTCTTTAAAAGTAGTAAAATAGAAATGATTTATTGTTTTTAAAAATCATATTAAGCATTATTTTTTAAAACGTCGATAAACTTAAAAAATATTGTATAGATATAATTTAATTATGTAAACTAAGTATGTTTTAAACTGGTGGAATATGTATTGGTATGTTTATTTAAAAACACAACTTTTATACAAAACTAATGACCATTATTGAATGAAGTACTAATGAAAATGATTTTAATTAATAAAATATTATAATAAAAAATGGACTAATTAAATAATGATACATCATTAGAAGATGTATATGTGGCAATGTGTGTGTGTGTGTGTGTGTATTATATGGAGTATATTTTACAATGATGAAATATATCGTTTATAAAATTGTTAAAAATGACGTTTTTTATACAAAATATAATTAAGTAATATTTTTTTTGAATAAATGCACAAAAGGTTTATTCACCTGTAACGCCCTAAGAATAGGCCTATCAGAATTAATTGATTGATAATTAATTAATTACTGAGAAGGACCCAAAAATAAGTGATTTATAAATTTTGTCAATAAATAATGAAAATTATATCATTATGAAAACGTTGACTGTCTGATTCCAACGGTTCAATCGGATTTCAATTTGGAGAAAGTTGGACCAAAAAGTATACCCCAACTGGGACCAAAATTAGTCCCAATCAGGGACTACACAGCAAACGGCGCCCTGTTCAATTACGCCGATTCCAAATTCGCTGCTCAATCATGGAAGCTGCAAACCATGTCTTCTTCCTTCCTCACTTGGCTATTTAAGGAGAGCCAACTCCTTCATTTCCTCATCAAAAAAATTCATTCTTCCTTCTATCTTGTTCCTTGCTGAGAGTAGAGTGCAGTGGTGCTGTCATCTTTGTGTGAGGTCGCCGGAGCAGAGAGATATAGTCGCTTTAAGTTTCGCCGGAAAATCTTCAAAACCTCCATTACGCTTCGAGGTAAGCCCGTAGATATATCTAATGACTAGAATTTTCATATAGGTTGTTTTTACATTCATAAATGATCATTTGGTTGAGTTTTGTGTTTTACATGCTTGAAAAACTAAGAATCATAAACCTTGAATTTGATGTTAAAACTATGAATTAATGATACCAAAATGATCTATGAACCTTGGAGAACATTTTTATATAGTTTAATTGAAGTTTGGTGACCAAAAATGACATTTCCGAAAATTGGCCCGAGGTTGAAGATGGCATTGTTCAAAGACTACGCGCAGCTACTGTCCGAACGGTACCTTGGTACCGCCGGGACGATAGGCCGTACCGTCGGAACGGAAGGGTAGCTACCGTCTTCAGCTCAATTTTTGGTTTCCTGTACCAAACGGTACCCTGTACCGTTTGGGCGGTACCGAGGTACCGTATCACAGTATCGAGGTACCGTTAGGGGTACCGTCAGTCTAGAGAAAAATTCAGAAACTTGATTTTTGAACGGTTAAATCCTATTTTTGATATCAACCAATTATAATCAATTTTAATATGATTTCTGGAAAAGAATATGATGTTTTGATAAATTCAAGAATCTTGTTTGATGCATGACGGTAAGCCAGGGTGTTAACACTCGACGCTAGAGCACCTACCCTATTGAAGAAATATCATTGCTCAGAGAAGGTCAATTTATTGTATCGTTCAAAAAAGTTGAGGATAGAGATGAAATTTTAAGAAGTACTATTACTTTGACAACAAGCCGGTTCTAGTTCAAAAATGGTACCCAGGCGTGAAGGTTAACCTGGATCAACAGAATAATATACCCATTTGGATACAGTTGCCTGACTTAGACATGAAATACTGGAGCCTGACTAGTCTTAGCAAGATTGGAAGCCTGGTGGGAAAACCAATCAAACGAGACTGTCCTACTGCCAACAAGACTAAATATGCTTTTGCGAGGATACCGGTGGAAGTTAAAGTCCAACAGGAGTTCCCTATGATGGTCAACTTTATAGATGATGAAGAGAGAGAGAGTGAGGAGCCAACAGATTATGTATGAATGATACCCTTGTATGTGTTCCCAGTGTGGGAAATTGGGCCATGTGCAGGAATCATGCAAGATTATATGGACGTTGGTATGGAAACCCAAACAGGGAGACAAACCTCATGAAGTAAGAAG